TCTTAGCAGCTTACCAACTTGCTTAATTGCGTCTTTTCTTGCGATGAATCCAATTTCGCCTTTAGAATTTTTCACCCTCTTGCTCCCCTCTCTACTTTGCTGTGTCACTTCGCGTAATAGGGCACGTTCGTTCGCGCAAGCTATTTTTCTTAACAAACAATCGTGACAAGTGACAAGATAACATTTGGACTTGAGAAAAAATAACGCAGTCTTTTCGAGCGAAGCGTGTGTTTCTTGCATTTCTGCATCGCAGATGCTCGATGTCTCTTGTTGCACTCAAGTACGGGGCTGCACTCTCCAGGATCGTTTGTCTAATCCACGTGTGCAGTTCGCGCCGACAGGCAGTAAGGGAGAACTGCTTAACTGCTTCCATGTAAATAATTACACACATCGGTTGGCGTTTCGAAGTCACTAGTCATACGTCACGTACCTGACGTTCTACTGCTTGGGCGCGCGCGAGTCTCGGCGTGCCCGTAGCGCGCTATGCGCGTGTGGGTGCGTCCGTTTGTTTGCGCTCGATCAACCGCATCGTTAAAGGGCCGCACGCTTCGTGTTTGATTTTTCTTCTTTTCAGCTTTATTGATTATCTGACGGGCTTTTACGCTCACGCGTCTATTCGATACTTTTACTACTGTCGATTTGTAAATTTTACCCACCTTCGCATATTGCATTGAGGCTACACAGGTCCTTATGGAAATTCAGCGGTGCGGCTTGAAAAAAATAGTCACGTACGGATTAGCTTTATTTGTAACGGTAAAAACTGGTCGCTCGCTGATGCATAAAAAACGTGTAAATCCGGTGCAGATAGAGCATTTATCTGTGCAGTATGGTTGTAAACATCGGGACTTTTTTCGAAAGATATCTCAGAGGCGATAATGCGCCGGACAACCAAGCATGAAAATGAATGTACTCTGATAACGAAGAAGAAGCAGTGGCATAGGATTAGAGAGGGGCACGGGAGAAAAGGTCAGCGCGAGCGATCTTAAAAGAATAAAGGGTAGCTCGTTGGCCATTGCGCTCGCCGCTCACGTACGCGTGGCTCCTCGCGGACTATAATCATGGGGGTTATTTAGTATTATTTCAATTATCGCGTGCCACACGTACGGCCGATAGCGCGCTGGACACGGCTCGAGCAATTTGCAAATCCAGCCCCGATAAGTTTCGCGGCATTTTCCAGCTTGGCTCGCTTGCGTCCCGGTCACGCGAATCATCGCGGACGTGTCCACGCGCGCGCACGGGGGGTGGCACCGCAAGCACGGAACGCTACGGCTCCGCGAGACGTCCTCGCGCTGCTGCAATTTGCCCGCCGCCGATCGCGCACGCACGCGCGCTCTCGCCGTGTTTGCCTTGCAATTAGTCCGGTCCGCGCTAGTTTCCAATTAAGTTTGCGCGGCTGAACGTTGTTTCTCCTGCCGGTCAGCCGTCAAACTCGGCTGTCTGCGTTATTTTTACCCCCCAATTCGACTTTCCGACGGATACACGCGAGCGTCCTTATATCGAAGGCGAAAGCGCGTCAACGTTTTGCGCGCGGTATTTCATTAGTGTTGTTTGCGAGAGAAACTGCCGCGGCGGCGACAGATTGCAAGAAAACAGGGGACAAGTTGTTGCACTGTCGCGCGCGAGCACGAGCAAACTGCTGAAAGGCAGTGTTGGCCTTGCAACACCGGCAGCCCCGGCCTCCGCATTCTCACTCTCTCTCTCTCGCTCTCTAGGCGTAATATACATAGAACATAATTCACGCGCTTCGTAATGTTATCTTCGGATTATTTATGGCTCGACTATGCTTTCTCCCTCCCTCTCTTCCGTGCATACTTGCCTGGCGCGGGCCTCTCTTCTCCTGCTAAGACGCGCCCAAGGAGCCGAATGGATATTGCGCGCCAAATTTTATACTCCGAATCGCGGAAGAGCGAGCCGCTGCACGCGCTATCGCGATAAACGGGAATAAGCGTGCGCGGCCGCGAATGGAATTCAGCCCTGTGGATACGGCGTGGGATTAAAGTTTTTCCTCTCGTGGCAATCCTTATCCCGAGCGGCAAGTCCCGGCCATTATGCATCCGAGCTCGTAACGATGTCACGCGCGCAACAGCCAGGATAAATATTCGTTTTCCCCGCGTGCGAGAAATGGCAGCGCCGCCGGCAAATTCAAAAACACAAAGGCTGCGGCTCCTGAGCGATGTCTGATTAGATACTGTCGAGCCCGCTCCTCGACCCTCTCTCGATTTACTGCATTAAATCCGCCTAGAATAAAACCTCTTCCAGTTGCATCGGGAGAAATAGTTTAGTCCATTTAGTCCGTCGGTAAGGTATAAGTAAAGATCAGCCAGTGCTTCGAAATCAATTGAAACTGCGCTCAAATCCATTCGTACTAAGCTCTCATAAGCTATTTTTACAGTAAAGTTCTAGCAGCGAGTTACACTTACATCGGAAAATTGCCGCGTACTTTGATTTAGAAGTGGAATTCTAAACGATAAAAAGTTGGCAGGAGCGTCAGCTCTGGAAAATAAAAAACAGCCCAGTTTTCTCTCTCTCTCTCACTCACTCTCTCTTTCTATGAATTATGAGGATAATCTGGTATGACATCGGGAGACATCATTATTTACTGGCGCAAGCGGTGGCGGTGGTCAACCCTTACCACACGTACGTCGGATTTCTGGCTGAGCGAGTTGCTCGCGCTGGATATATAAGTATATATAGAATGGCGAGGTCGGCTACAAGAGCAAACCGGTACATAAAGACACGAGGAAGAATTACGAGCGGCGCGCCACCAACTTAAAATCGGAAAAAGTCTATCGCGCAAAAAGTAAAAGCGATTTTCCCGAGCAAGGAGGGCGGCAGCACACGGGAGAGACCGAGCACGAGCTGCTCACCTGACGCCCGCCGCCCGGGCGTGTAGCGCGCATAACACAAAGGTAACTCGAGAGTCCCTCGCTCTCTCTCTCTCTCTCTCTCTCTTTCTCCGTCTTCGTGGCCTTTCCGTGTACGTGCCCGTGTGTGTAGAGCTGAACTCCCGGATAGACGCCCACGGCGCTGGCGTTCCTCCGGTGCCGGTCCGATCTGCAGGAGCGAGCGAGAGACCGGCTATCCCTCCTCCCTCCCTCCCTCTCTCTCTCTCTCTCTCTCTTTCTCCTCCACGGACACAATGGTCGCTCTCGCGAGCAGCACCCACTGTCATGCATTGTGAATTATAGCGCGTTTTATTAAACCGCTCTCTTCTCGTGCGGCTTGTGCCGCCACGCCGGAGGACGCTGCCATGCTGAAGCCTCTCGCCCAGAGTAAGAGGCCTCGGCTACGCCTTGGACGGGTAAACATCTGTACAAACTGTCGGTAATTTAGGCTTCACATGGACATTTTTCTTTTTAACCTTGATCTTTATAGTTTTCTCAGTTTTTCAACTCGATTCAAGTGCTACGGATTATTTTTACTTTTACTCAACGGCTGCGAGCTCTCATCGCTAGATTGTCGCTTACTTTTTTATATGCTAAATCTGTTGCAAAAATTATCAATGTTCGACTTGCTTCAATCCTTCGATAGTTGCGATAAAATTGGATGACGATATATACGAATTCTTTCTCTTCTCTCGCCAAATGAGTGCATTCAAAGGATAAATTGTACGGGCCTTTTTCTCTCTTCCCCCTTATCTACCCTAATTCTTTTCTTCTTCGAGTCGCATTTATTTTCTATTTCAGCATTGCATATACCACTGTAACCTTTTCCTCGCTCGTACAGATTTCATTTACCTGGAAATCGAACTTATCTATCGGCGCAACGAGCAAAGCCGAATACTCTCCTTCCAATTCCATCCGGGATATCTTTCTTATATACGTACGGTTCGTTTTAGATTGAGCAGACGCTCGACCCAGATCTAAAACGTCTTATTCTTTCCGCTAGTTTCAATATTGACTTCTTCAAACATGCAAAAGCGTTCTTAATAACTGGTAACGTCAATTTCATTTCAATTATTCCAGTAAAGTTGTAAATTATTCAATACAATTAGATATTTCTAGGCAATTTTTTATTTTCCCTTAGCCATCCGATGCAGTCGACAAACAATGTGAGCTCTAAATAATAGGTGCGCAAGTGCATACTTTTCGCAATACAGACTAGATATTGATTTCACTTGAATAAGATTCCGATGTAGGTCAGTTGAACTTCCATTTAAAACTTTTCAATCTTTCGTTCAGTTACAGGCCAACCGCATGTTGCCAAAAGAAACTTCCGCCACCGTTTCAGGCGACGCCAATACCTGCAGAATTTTAAGTGTCCAACTCTCATATTTCTTCAGCAGTTCTCAATATTAAACATTTACGGCCACGTACAACTTTCGAATGGTCCAAGAACTACCTAAACCTCAACGTGTAGTAGAATGGTACTGTGGATTTTACTGTTTCAGTCGAGCAAATATGTACGTTATATGCACCGACTGTTGCACACCATATATATATTATAAACTAGGGCATTTTGGCTCATCTTTTGATTTTACAAACTCAAACTACATAAACATAATATAAGCTTTGAAATTTCCAATGTGTTTTGTCGTAAATTTTTAATTTTTTGAAAAGAGTCAAGAGTCGAGCTACTTGTTATTAAAGAGACTTTTTCAATTATATTAATATGTCATAACAACAATAATAATATATTTAATGATATCGACGATTACTTGGTCTACTTGCACATTCATGTAATAACTGAATAATCACAACCATTCGGTAACTTGTTAAATATCTTAATGAAATGGTAAAAAATGTACATTATCAGATGTATTAAACATTTACAAATCACAAATCTAAATTTTTTATAAATATTTTCTAGTGATTTTACTATACGATTAATTTATGTTAAAATGTTTTATGGAGTAATAAGAACACTTGATGAAACAGGTATTTTTAAATTATACATTTCATTAGGTTTTCACCTACAGTCATAAAATAATTATCTAAAGATATGCATGAAATTTTAAATGACAAACGGGGTTCTAAAACTATTTTGGTGTGTTCAAAAACTACTGCATTTATTTATTTTTATATATATAATACATTTCAATACTAGTGCGAGAAAATTAGCAAGGATCAATCTGTATATGTAGGTAAATACCTTTACGTCAAAATTATCCTGCTATCTATCGCATAAAAATCTTTTCTTTGTCCACGGTAAGCGACAAACATGACTTTGTAAAAGGAAACGTCTTCATCAATCTTGATTGTACGGAATGGAGCTGTATGCATAAAACATAAGAAAAATACACACTGCACTTATTAATCTCTTTTATAATTGCACTCTAGAGATAAATTATAATATTTACCTATTGTTATATTCTCTAGAATTTCGTTTAAATATTTAAAAAGCTTTTAAATGACAAACTGTATTTTCATTTCGCAAACATTCAAAAGCATTTGAAAATTCTACAACATTCGATAGAACTTTCTTGATCATCTGTTTATCATTTTCTCCGCAATGATCCTAGATAATGGAAAAATAAAAAGCGAATAGAAAAATGACAGAGACGTCATTTGTCAAAGGTTAGTACTGTCTAGTATTATGTTGTGCAAAACCAAACATTGCGAAATATACCTCGGTATAGGCAACGAAGAACTCGGCACTTGATTTAGCTTTCACACAGTGCAATAAAGCTTCATAAGCAAATCGTATACTAAAAACTTCCGTAATTATATCATAGACGACGGGATACTAAAATATTATATGGAAAGTTAATGATGGAAACTGATGATACTTTTTTATAAAAAATATATTCCATTTACAAAATATATTAATTATAGCAGTACTCACGCCATACTTTACACTATTTTCTTGTATGAAACAAGAAACGTATTCAGGATTATAAGAGATTCGGGGAGTAATTGATAAAACGCCTCGAAAGTCACGTAAATCTAATGTAAAAAATTGAAAAATTACAGTAAATATATTAGTTTGTTTACGTTATTTCATAATTTTCATAAATGGTGAACTAGTATTCAACTCTTTTTTTCATACATATGATAAAATGTATTGTTATTCTATGCGAGCGATGTACACAATATCATGTTAAACTTACCATTTACATATGTTTTTTCCGCTAGTAGAGAAAACAAGAAGCTAGCTGATTTAACACCGAATGTACCGTAAAGAGCAGCTCTGAAATTATATATATATATATATATATATATATATATATATAAAATTACATTAACATCAACTTTCAGAAGTTACTTACTTATTATGTGAAAATTCGTTCCTATAAATTATGGCATTCAATGCTGAATGGATGACTGAAACATATTATGATTTGTAAATACATAGCAGTATTAATAAATTATTATTAAAGTTAAACATAATGATTCTCTATCTCTTTCAAGCAAAACAGTGAATTCAACATACTGTAACGGTTTCGAGGATTTTCTATTTCCAAGACGCTAAATGGTGAAGATCGATGATGTTTTCTAGAAAAGTACATACATTTTAAAAATATAATTAGGTCACAGATTCATTGATCAATAACCGATGTAATAGTAGCTTAATTATGATTGATACACGACAAAAATTTACTCACATTGAAGTATCATGAAGTTTTTGAAGGTTTTTCTTTCTCATTAGACTATTATAACTATTTATATCCACAAGATATACCCCCGTAATTTCGAACTGCATTTAGAAAGCACTCCATCATTATGTATTGAATATATGTTTTGCAATCATACGTACGTCTTTGTAATATTCAGAAATGATCGAATGGTCAGTAGTTTCAAATGGATTTTTTGTAAAATCTTTTAAATTTGATAATAAATAACTTTTATCAGTTTCAGATAGTTTTGCCCTAGAAATATTAGCGTGCTCAACACTGGCAATGCTATTCAATAACGATTCTATTTTCTTCTTGTACGGTCGCTGTAACGACCAATTATTATTCGACTGTGTATAAACGTACATATATATTATAATAATATTCGTGTATTAACTGACTTACCATTTTTAATTTTAGACGTTTTAAAACTTCTGTTGAAGCTGCATAAAATTTATTATCTTCAAGACAAAATGATGTCCTTTGAATCAAATCGAATTTTGAGTCCATGTGATTTACTCGTAATATTTATATGGAGGGTTTAGATTATTATTTTTAAAAATACATACTTGTCCACCGGGTTTATTTGGTAGACGTACTCCCAAGACCAATATCGCATATTTTCAGCAACAAATTTTGAACGGAGAGCATGAACTATAAAATAAAAAAATTAAATATACGTGTATGATTCGATGCTATATATTTGATCATTACCAATATTTGCATTCGATGAATCGCCGAACAATTCAGCCATTTTGTAAAAGTATGGTAGATTTTCAATCAGAATGTAATCTGTATTTTCTATGTAAACTCCAACATTTTTGAAATATGATTTTAATACGAGGGGCCAATTTATCTAAGAAAATAAAGGGACATGGAAAATATTTATTGTTTACGTGTTGAAAAGAAAAAATTGTAAAAGACATGTACCTTAGTTGTATTTTTACTAGAATATTTTTCATACACTGTATTCCATTCTTGTATTGTGAGTCTCTGAACTTTGCTCTCTTTGTTCGATGTATCCATGGTATCGAAAATTCCCTAATTACAATATATTCTTGTTATAATTTTATTAGTTATCTGAAAATGAAAAATTAACTAGTGCTGTGAGTACCTGTAGCACTTTATTAAGCAAATCCATGACATTTTGATCTGACTCATGCACAAGTCTTGTCGTCAGTTCTGATTCCTCTTCCAAAATTGTTTCGCATATTGGATCAACAGGTGTAGAATTGGCTGTATTATCTTCAGCATTAGACTCATCAATTTTATTTTCATCTGATTCCCAAAAAGCTGAATCGTTATCTATTTTTGATGAATCAGCTTCGCTTTCATGAGGCTCAGAATTTTTATTTCCTTTGCAATAGTCTAAAGCTTCTATCTGGAGCTGAGTGAAAATATCTGATACTATATCAGTGAGTTTTTTGAAATTCCATTCTTTGATCGAAGGTGGAGAGAGCTAAAAATTAAAAATTGAATTGTATATAATTCATCACAGTTTTGATACAATTTATCAAAAAATGAAGAGTTAGATTATTTTGTTTGTAATAACAATTTCAAATTATAAATTTGACGAATAGTTAGAAATAATAATACGTTTTGAGATATGAATAAAATTTAGGGATATTATATAAATCAGTTTGATTTTATCACACATTGTATTTACGTGATACTTACACGAATTATGTTTTTATTAGGATTTGCAGGATCTTTCACAACATCTATTTCGAAAAAAGAATGTTTAAAACCTAACAATGCTAATTTTTGGTCCAATTTTTGCCAATTCTCTTCATCTATTTTTTGATCGAAATATTCTAATATGCTATTAAAGTAGGATTCAATTGTGTCTAATTTTGTATTATCTGTATTTTCTTGAGATGGCTTGTCTCCCTCAGAATCTACATTATTTTCCTCAGTTTTATTATTACCTATATTTAAAATAAATTTTATTATAGTGAGCTTTTTAAAAAAAATATAGTTATTCTATATGTTGCTTACCTAATCGCATACAATTTTGAAACAGGGTTCTTTCTGCGTTGAGAGGATTCTTTTTATTTTCTATGTCATCGTTCAAAATGTCTGAAAAATTCAGAATCATTTGAATTAGTTTTACTTCAGAAATATTTATACTCCAATAATAATTATATTCTTTCAATATTGTTATATCTTTGAAGTTATGTATACATGTATTTTTGAAATATGATTATTATAATGAATAAATAAGATTTAATATGAAAGTTTTATATGAAAAATTTTTGCTTTTGCAACTTTTAAACAATTGTTAAGTATTAAAATTTTTTGAAATGTCTTAAAAATACTTGATTTAGAGGTTGAAATTAAACAGAAGTCTAAACAAGTTATTTAAAATTACATAAAAAATTATTATGTAAAATATTACATAACAAAAAATAAATTATTTATTTATTATTCATATACACTCACGTAGAAAAACCAAAAGTTTTTTTTTTAAAGAGTTAATCATGCTTGAGACTATTTAATGAAGATATACCTCAATTGAATGGTATTAAAAATTTTTTTTTCATTTTAAAGCTACCTTAATCAATCGGTTAAAAATTAATACATTAGTAAATTTATGTATTATTTTATTCGTCGAGTCGAAAAAGGATTACTTTTAGTCGTTCTAATCAAGAAATATAAACATATATAATTAAATAAACTTATGCATTACCAATAAGAGCATTATGTACTTCAGATGAATATAAATGAGCTAAATGATCTCTATATTTAGGTAGATATATATTATTCTTGTTGTTTTTGTTACACGTCATGGAATAAAAATCTACACAAGCATAATTATTATTTTTTTGCTTCTGTGAATCTGAAAATGTAAATACACATCGTGAATAATGTTTGCTTCGATATTTATCGATGTGGTTATATAGTTAACTTCTAAATATATCATCAAGATAAATAAGATAAAGTAATCAAGGTACCATTGCCCTCTGCTGGCTCAATCACCGAGTTTGTCGCAATCGCGACTAAAAAAATGCTGAAATAATTAATAATTATATTTATTTATTTATTAGTACTTTTTTTAGATATAATGTTTTTGACAAAATGATTTTTCCGTAGTATTGCTAGTTACTACAAAATTGAATTTTTGTTTACATAAACTTTTTTTAATTACGTCTATTTTGTTTGTCTATAAAGAATAAATAATGGCATCCAAATCTTGTTACTCTTAAAAATTAATTATACGTGTATGATAAAATAAGTATATTTACCTACAAAAATTTCATTTGCAAATATTTATTTAGAGTATCACAGGAAATATGTTGGTTAACATATAAAAATACCAAGATTTAGGACACCGGATTAAGAATATTATAATTTTTTATGTTTTCATAAAAATTTTTTTAAAACTAATAATCAGCCGACAATGTCATGTATATTATTTAATTAGCACAGTTTGTACAATTGATGTTTTGAAATTTTTTCTAGTTAAAATATAACAGGTTCAATTTTTGTTTCTATAATTAATTTAAGTGAAAATTGTTGGTTTTTTACTATATCTATCTATTATGCTATGGATGCAGATGTTAGAATATGTCTAGACACACATACACATATATACACGCACCCGCGCACAAAATATATTATATATTTATATAATTTTTCATAAATGTATTTATAGACTTTAAACTTTTTGGCTACTTACATTTCTATGGTACACTGCATTTCAGTACGAACAAAAAAAATTTGATGAAATCAAGAGTCAAAAGCAATTTTTTCCGCTTTATATAGAAAAGAGTGTTATCTATTATTTTCTCGTTGTAGTATATTATTTTTAATTGCTTGAATATGATATCGTATTAATGAGTTCCGTCGGATGTACATTTTTAATTGAAGATTACATTATAGGATGATAATTGCTATAGTTATTATTATAGGATATATGGATTTTTTCTACCGCCATGTTATCTGTAATTATCAAAATGTAGTAATGTATTATTCTATTGATAGGTAACTCTTTTGAAGTATGTATCAAAGTAAATTTCGTTCAAATATTACTGTAAGGCATTTATATAAGCATAAGAACATGTTTCTGGAGAGCACAACTTGAATATTCAATTATCATTAATAATATAATTTCAATCACTTTTCTGTTTTATCTTGTTACTAATAACATAAGTGGTTTATTTATCTAGAGTTAATTTTCGCGTTCTTCGCACGTCCACCATAGCGTAGCATTTACAATTTTAATAGATTCAGTTAATAATTTAAATATAAATATTTATTTTGATTTAATTATTATATCGTTGTGTTTAATGATAGTAGTATTTAAAAATTGTACGATATATTAATTTTTTTATTAATGGGTAAAAAATATTTTGAAAGTTACGTAAATAAGTAACTTTTAAATATTTAAAAGTTTTGAAGGTTCGTGTAAGAATGTGAAAAAGAAATAACAAATGTTTTTGCATTTTATAGTATTTCTTTATTCAAATATTTTTTCACAATAATCTTAAATTAAAAATAGTTTATCAGAGTTTTCGTATCTTTTTATTTAATCGGATAGCATTTTTTACCGTGAATCCGCCCTGAATCTCTTTCCAAGCTCCCCGTATAGTTTTTATCTGTTTAATAGTAAACACAACCTGTTATCATTTAAAACTTAAATATAAACAATAACAAAAAAAGTCAATCTAATGCATAATTTTTTAATGTTCACATGTTCATCATTACTCCTACCCCTTACCCCATCCTGAACTCTCACCGATTTTTCTATTCGTATGCCATCTTGACAGTTCCGATGATTTAATGTTTAACTCTCGTATTTAATGTGTACTATGGATTTTATGGAGTTTATCGCCGATAAACACGGAATTGTCAGAATTGTGAACACGTGGACATTCCTTTTTGTCAAATTTTTGTCAAAGACTTGTAAAATTATGTAGACTTCTAATAATAGCTTGGCAAGACTTACGGATATGCTTTTGAATTCGAAATCTTGAAATAAAAATGCGCTCTTTATCTGTTGCTGTAAGTATGCATAAACGTAGCGCGCGTGTCTGCTGGAGCATCGGATAAAATTCGTTCCTTTACTGCGAGTAAAAGCATAGTATCGTATAGTCGCAGAATGCAACTAAGGCATTGCCACTCTACATTGCCAGGTACATCGCGGAGAAAGAGCAGAGCAAAGGCGAAGAGCAGGAGAGGGAGAGAGAGAGAGAGAGAGAAAGAGAAAAGTAGTGGAGTGGAGAGTAATAGCAGGAAGCGTCGCGACCGCCGAGGGGCGCGCGCGCATAAACCGACTCTCCACGCGAGGGATAAGCCCCCTTTTCAGCGGGCTTATCTCTCTCTGTCTCTCTCTCTTTCTCTCTCGCTCTCTCTCTCTGTGTCTCTGTATGTGCATGCAAGCATCGTCGGCCCGCCAGCTTTTCCAGCTTTTGCGAAAAGAGCGAACGCCCCGAGTGCGAAAGAGGACCGAGGCCCGCCGCTGTGCTACTGACGTTGCCAGTTTTCCTCTTGCGTTCTGCTGTTTTACCCCCACCCCCCATCCGACCCGGATTATTTAAGTTTCCAGTTGCCATTTCCACCGCACTGTATATTCCGTGTATGAGTAAGAATGACTTTTTGAAATGCCTGGTCAATAAATACAGAGTATTTTCTATTGGATGAAATGCGACATAGAAAGTCGAGTTTCCATTTTCTTCGTTTATTTAACTGCCTTTACCACCTGGTTTTTTTATTAATCTGTTTTTTAAATCCACGTATGGCTCAGTCAACGATGTTTTTGGGCTGTATCCAAAAGCTAACCCTATACTTGTGTTCATGAGAAAAAAGTGCGGACGCAGACGTACCTCCACTATATGGAGCCCCGCAAACGCATGCATTTGAAACGAAGAGGATGAGCCGCAACGGTATAAGACTCGTTGGTTTCTCATCGTTTCTTGTTTTCTTTTCAAGTTGTATAGCACATATTTGGCAAGCCGCTCAGTGCCGGATTTCGTTTCCTCATACATTCTTTTTGCAGTCCATGTGAATTCAATCTACTTATCGCCCATTCGTAATTTTTGCTAGCTGTACGTTTTAAAAATGACCGAGTGCTTGGAAATAGCTCGGATGGTAATAAATATTCTTATATTACAAATATGTTTTGCATTATATTTTATTCGTATAGCGGTCGTGAAAAGAGTGTTGTGTCGTTTGAAAATGTGCGATTAAATAAAAAGACGGAGAATTTTTTAGCGAAGCCGTCATTTGCAGACACATTGAAGGAAGAGAGAGAGAGAGAGAGAGAGGAAAGTTGTAACGGGAATCTGGAAGCGGAAGCAAAGCGATGCGTATTAAAATGATGAGCGGTCTGGCCGGCAGCTTGAGGCGCACGCGCCGAATTATGCGATGGCCGAGTGAGCGGGCTCCGGTCCAAACTACGACGGCGAAGTGCTCCGGAATATACGCACGTGCACTTGCCTGCGAGCTTCTGCCGACTGTTACTCCGATGAGCCAAAGCTCCTGCTGCCAAAACTCTCACCAAATTGATATAGCCACAAACCTTTTGCACGTCTACTCTATCAAGATTTTATTTCGCATGCTGCTGTTCAATTTTATACGCCGCGAGTAGACTTTTCTGTTCATTGATTTTACCTAAAATCATTGCATTTTGTTTACGTATGTAAAATCACCAGTTACAATGAGTTGCCACGTATATCGACTGAGACAAATTTCTTCTGCTGATTTGTCATATTTAGCAAATAAAAGCACCTATTTTTGTCGATAGCGCTGCTAATGGCGCAATGAGTACCACTAGCAGCGCTGTTAAGTAGTGAAATTATCGAAACGTGTTTTAAAAGGCGAGTCGAGCTTCTACGCCTTTCTCCGCTTTTCTAATCATACATCAAACCAATTTCGTAGAAACCACTCTGCTCTGCCATTTCGTATCCAGCGTATCCCTCCCATCGAATTTCCAACCAGAGCACGTTAGAGAGAAAGAAAGAAAAAGACAGGCGCAGAAAAAGAGGAAAAAGAAGAAGGAGGAAAGTGAGTCTGTGCTCGTACTGGTTGGTCGGTCTCGTCTGCGCCAGAGGTGTGACTTAGTTGTTTGAGGAAAAGCTCGAAGGGAGCGGGAGGGGAGGGGACAGCAGCAGTCGAGCTTTGTCCAGCGAATCTCCGCTGATTCCAAGCGGCGACGTGGCTGCTTCTCGCTTTTGGTCGGACGTGCTCTGTAGCCTAATGGCTGACTTTTCGGCCGCGAAACAAGCTGCGGAGAAAATTTCGCCAAGAGTCCTCGCTCAATTCGTCGCGCGGCTGTTCACTTACACTTGCTCTGCTCGCGCGACACGCAAGAGGGAGAGAGAGAGAGAGAGAGGGAGATAAAGATGTAACCTAGCCGACGCGACTCGCCTACCAAGTGCGACGAGGGACCCAATCACGCGCGCCGGGTTATAAACACTTTTAACGACCAATACAGCTCGATCCGACGTTGACTGGGCTTTCGGCTGACTCTCCTGTATGTTAACATGACTGTCGGATTAGTGCTTCTCTATTCTCGTCTCTCTCTTTCACCTGCACGCGTGTGCGCGATGGAAAAGCTAGTTAACGAGGTCATAAAATGACGATAACATAATTGTTTAGGGCACGATATTGCAACCTGCTCGCTGCATTGCTTTCGCTGTCTTCCTCTACGCGTATATATGTAGGTAATTGGGAATGCTTGCCACACGCATCGATCATCGGCTTCGTTAATTCAGCATTAATATTCCAGTTTCGATTAGTTATGCGAGCCATTCGGAATTTAATGCGCGATCATTCCAGCTTTAGTCCAGTAGCCGGGCACGAGCGAATAAATTCACGGAATATCCTCATCGAAATTTCTCAAATAAGCTTCTTCAAAGAAAAGTACTTAAATCAATGTCTAAATTGTACGATGTTAAATATGAATGAACCGAGGGATATTAAGCGATCAGTTTGATTAAATAGACAATAAATCTGGGATACTTAACTCGTCGGGCCAATAAATTTGCGCCGTCGTAAGGTGCGCGGACGCGGGCGCGGGCGCGGGCGCGGCGGCAGCAGCGTTAGATTTTAATTACGGATTTATGTGTATAAGCAGGATGAAGGTGAGGGTTTAACATAGCAGGTAATCTTGAGAGTCGCCTCGATATTTTCATTAAGGCTCAGTAGCTGGCATTTAATCAAGTAAATCCTCGAGGTGTATCGCGCATTAGTAAGCGTAGCGTCGTCGCGAGCACGGCCAGGTGTGCGTGTCGTTGTGGCGCGTGCGGTTAGCGCCGACGACGCGTAGCGATCGAGACGCTTGCCAGGCGCTCGTGTCGCGCAGCGCGCTGTGCCAGCTATCACGGACTGCCCCTCGACAGTCGAGCCAACCGACGTTACGTTCCTCTCTTGGTCGGATTAAAAATAACCTCCCTCTCTTTCGCACTTTCCACGACACGCGATTGATTTGAAGAGCACCTGACCGGGAAATTCAAACGGGATCCTTTTCTCGACTGTTTAGTTGGGAGAGGGAGGGGGAGTGCCTTCCTTTACCCATAAAAATGGCATTTCCTCGTGGACTCTTAGAATTCAGACGGTTTTGAAAATTTTCTTTTTGTACCTTCAACCTACGATTCAATACTATTATTACATATACCTCCAATTAAAGCGTCCCTGAATATTATCTGCGTGCGTTTTCCTTTATCGCGGTAATTTATTCTGCAAAAAGGAAGCAATT